AAAAAACAAAGGGGCTTCTGGTCACTTAGATTTTTCCTCAATCTGTGCCCCTTGTATGTATTGCTGTTGTGTGTCTTTGATTTAAAACAGGGATGGGCAATTCCATGGGGACCAGGGGCCAATTCCTCTAGCCGCACATCCCTATTGCAGGCCCAAATACGTATTTTCTCTGCGGTCTCTTTCAAAATAGTGATGGGAGTCACTTCTAGAAAATGGGGAAACATATCAACAAAACAAGAAATACAAGATGTCTACTTCCGTATTTTATTTTTACCTGTTAAAATACTTATTCCCGCACATACACAGTATCCTAGGATCTCAACGTAATATAAAGTAAGTAACTGCAGCTGGGGTGGACATGCGCTCAAGCATTGAAGGGCCATTTGCACCTACTCCCTCCCGGCCCTTGGCAAGCCACTTTGGTGCAATCCAGAAGTGACATTTTGGATGGGAGAAGTCATTTCTGTTCCTATTTATACATTTGCTGACCTAACTAAATTCTGAAGTTTTGCAGCTAAGGTAAGGTCATTTCTTGCCAAAAAGCATTCGTCAACCAAAAGTGAGTTCAGGACATGTGGCCAGCGGGGCAGACAATGTTCAGGCCTACCCCTGAACTACAAAAACAATAATTAGGGGAATGCACAGAAATTATATCCTTCAAATTTCCAACAAACACAAGGGAAAGCCACTTTAGGCCTAATGTGGCTTTGAACTTTTCCATCCAGCTCTTATCTCCTGTCAGTAACTGGAGATCAGAAGGTCTTTAATTTTCAACACTTCTTCCTCCCCAAAAAGAGAGGAGGACACACCAATATACCGCAAAGGGACATCACAACTGTTATGGTTTCAAATTCAGATAATATAAGGCCTTTTTAAAAACTATGGGGGGGGGGATTTGGGGTAAAATTGCAGTGGTTTTCAACCACAAGGGAGTGAAAAATCATTTCATTTAAAAAAAAAGAATGGGGTCTGGGGGCTTTGGTGCTTGGCTGGCTATGGGATTCTGAAAGCTGTAGTCCAAAATAATAATAATCATATTTCCATGTTCTTTTATGTCCAAATTCTGATCCAGAAGTACCTCCTAACCTGCAGTTGACTTAGAAATAGGAAAAGCAGAGTTGGAAAAAGGCTCAGCTTGAGTTTTGTTAGTCTTATCCCTCTGGCCTCTTCTGCTGTCAAGTTGACTTTGCCCAGGACTGGTGTTCATCCTGCTTTGACCATATGAGGCTGAAAGGGATGACTAGTTCCCAGCTCTTCAAGTCTGTGAGTTTGAGACAACAGCTAAATGAGGAACCTGGGTAAAGGCACCAAAGGAGTTTCGATCTCTCTGCCGTGAATGCCTAAATAAATCCAGAGCCAGTTTGGCAAAGTGGTTTGAGAGTTGGATGACGACTCTGGAGACCAGGCTTTGAATCCCTGCTGAGCCATGCAGGGTGACCAGATGCCCTCCTTTCCCAGGACACATCCTACATTTCAAACTTCCAGGAGGAATTCCAAAACATCTTCCATTTTGAGCACAATGAAGAAGCATGCATTTACCTTTCTATGAGTATTTTTACACATGCCCTATATTTTTTTTTCCCCACGAACATCATACATTTTGCAGCGCCTTGTGGTTAGGACATCTGGCCACCCAGCCTGGGTGACCCTGGGTGAGTCACACTCTCTCAGCCTCAGAAGATGACAAGGGCACATCTCCTCTGAACAAATCTAGCATGATAGAGTCGCATTAAGTCTTGCAAAC